CTTTGGTGATCCCTCAGCCTCTCACCGCCTGAGATAAGGGATTTGCAGCCCCACAGAGCTGGGGCTGTGTCCCTGCTCCCCTTGGTGGTTTCTGTGCCCAGCTATGGCTCACAGCCCCGTTTCTGCTGCTCCCCTGGCCTCTCTCATGACAAAAAAAACCCAATTTCAGTCACGTGCTGCCCAAATCTAGGGCACGGAGAGGCAGGAGCTGCGTGGGCCTGAGTGGTGCAGCCAGCTCGAGCAAAGTGAGAGGTGTTGACTTCAACCACCACAAAATGAGGAAAGTTCTGAAAGCTTTAGCAGCTCAGAAGAAACTGTAGCCGAGTTTGCTTGTTTTGATTTTGCCCTTTCTGGTCCCTCCTGTCACCTCAGGACTTGTCCCGGGTGTTTGTGGTGCCCTGGGAGGCTGAAAGCTCATGGAGAAGGTGCTCATCTTCCTCACGACAAGAGATATTTTCTTTTCCTGTGCCAAGAAAGAGSCCGGTGGGGTTTGTTTCCTCAGCCCCGGTACCTGAGGGGTGTCTGTCTGTCCTGCTGTGCTCAGGGGACAGTTCCATCCCGGCTTTGGGCTGGGATTTACCCTTCCCAACAGGAGATGATGAAGGATCCCTTTTCTGACAGCAAGCACGGGCTGCTCACGGCTCTGAGGAAACTTTCTAAAGAGAAAAAAACCCCAAAGCAGCAGCAGCAGCAGCTCCTCCAGGCATACAGAGCTCCGGGGCAGCCCCAGGAGGAGATGCAGAATTGGGGAGGGTGGGAGGCTCAGCCCCRGGGCAGAGCAGGAGGACGGGGAGGCGGTTCAGGCTGTCAGGCAGCGCTCTCAGGGGCAGGGCAGCCGGCAAGGAAACCCAAATTCTGTGGGATAACAAAACCAGAAACCGCCAGCTTTGATCTCGGCGGCTTTTACTGTAACACCAGACTGCCACCGAGATTGGCAGGAACTGCATCAGCACCGGGGAGMGAGGAGCCGCCCAGGGCTTGGTGTTTCCCTGCTCTAGATCAGGTGTTCTGTGAGAAATTTGTTTTTAAAAGTGAGGAGCTCGGGTCTTCTCGCTTTCCTGGTCGTTAAGAGCCGCAGTTCATCCCTGGTGSTCCTTCCCACCCGGATCCGTGCCCGCCGGGTGCCCTGGGGCTGATTTTTTAACACCTTAAAAACTTAAAAGTTTGGTYTGAGAGGTTGAAAATATTCCTTCCCARCTTTATCTGGGAGCTTTATCTGGAGAGCATAACGCGACAGAGGTTCATTCGTCTTTATTAGGAAATCTTTATTAGCAAAAATAAAAAATCTCTTTCTATACAGATAAATATGTGGAATTCACACAGTGACAGGAGCCGCGGGACCCCACCTTGGCTCTCAGGGCTGTCCTCGCTTCTCCTACAACATCCAAGCCAAGGCGTTTGGGGGAAAACCACCCGGAATTGGCTCAATTGCCCTGGTAAGGAGCTGAATTTGATTTTTTCCCAGTCTTTGGCTGCCCTGGAGCCGGTGCTTTCAGCAGGAGGAGGAACCCGGGGAGCAGCATTCCTGCCCTGCCTGCAGGAATTCCCTGCTGCCACCAGAAATGCCCACAACAAAATAAATCCAGCGTGAAAAACCTGTCAGCGAGGCTTACAGGGCAAACAGCAAACTGGCACCGTTCCATCCCATGGGGTCCCTCTCGTTTCTAAATATTAGAAATAAAATATTCGCCCCCTGTCCGAGGTTGTGGCATTTTCCTCTGGCTCGGGGTCCCTCCTGGGAGGATTTTAGGAGCCCTAAAATCGGCCACTTTTGGGGGAAAAKAAGCTGCTCCCACTGCACGGGAGGGATGAAAATCAAACCCCGATCAGGGCAGCGCTGGGAGCAACATCACGGATTTGAATGCAAATTACCCAAGCCACCTTAAAATGATGGTTAATTAAATATCCTCTGGCTTCTAAAAAGAAAATTAACAGCAGTAAAGCAGCGAGGAAAACCCARTCAGAGACTGGGAAATGGAACTATAACAAACAGCATTAAAATACTGGCAAATAAATACTGATTYACAAGCTCGTCACACCTTTTTTTAAAACACACTGTAAACATCAACACTGAGGTATTAGAAGTAATAAATAACAAATCCAATAATTAAAAAAAKACATTTGAAATACAATATTAAGCTGGAACTTATTGACCTGTAACTCTTGACCTGAGATAATTTGATACCCTGAGATAGTTTGAGCTCTTGCAGCCTAAAGTGATTTTTGGAACCAGTAGCAGGATTTGGTGTGRAAAATGCAGATCCAGGGGCTCTCTCACTTCCTTCTGCCCATCGTCAGATATTTTTCGATGTAGTTGATGAAAATGTCRAACTCCCCCATGGCCTTGTAGATTCCATTCCTGTGCATCTGCAGGGGAAAGCCAGGTCAGTTTAGTGGGACCATCATAGGGATGGGATGGAAAATCCATGGGATTCTCCTTCTATGGACACCTCCAGCTCCTCTGCCCCATCCCCTGGGAACACCCACCCTTGGAGACCCCTCTCTGGATCCCTCTGCTGCAGGGATTTATGGGAATAAAGACTTTTTGGGGTTCTTTTCTCTGGATCCCTCTGCTGCAGGTTTTATGGGATTAATGACTTTTTAGGGTTCTGTTCTCTGGATCCCTCTGCTGCAGGGATTTATGGGATTAAGGACTTTTTACGGTTCTTTTCTCTGCTTTGCTGTTTCTCTGCTGCAGGTATTTATGGGATTAAAGACTTTTCGGGATTCCTCTGTTGCAGGGATTTACAGAATTCAAGACTTTTTGGGGCTTTGTTCTCTGGATCCCTCTGCTGCAGGGATTTACAGGATTAAATACTTTTTAGGGTTCTTTTCTCTAGATTTCTCTGCTGCAGCGATTTATGGGATTAAAGACTTTTTGGGATTCCTCTGCTGCAGGGATTTACAGAATTAAAGACTTTTTGGGGCTTTGTTCTCTGGATCCCTCTGCTGCAGGGATTTATGGGAATAAAGACTTTTCGGGATTCCTCTGCTGCAGGTTTTAGGGGAATAAAGACTTTTTAGGGTTCTGTTCTCTGGATTCCTCTGCTGCAGGGATTTATGGTATTACAGACTTTTTGGGATTCCTCTGCTGCAGATTTTATGGGATTAAAGACTTTTTGGGGTTCTGTTCTCTGGATTCCTCTGCTGCAGGGATTTATGGGATTAAAGACTTTTTAGGGTTCTGCTGCAGGGATTTATGTGAATAAAGACATTTTAGGGTTCTTTTCTCTGCTCTGCTGTTTCTCTGGTGCAGGTATTTATGGGATTAAAGAATTTTGGGATTCCTCTGCTGCAGGGATTTACAGAATTCAAGACTTTTTGAGGCTTTGCTCTCTGGATCCCTCTGCTGCAGGGATTACAGGATTAAATACTTTTTAGGGTTCTTTTCTCTAGATTTCTCTGCTGCAGCGATTTATGGGATTAAAGACTTTTTAGGCTTCTTTTCTCTGCTCTGCTGTTTCTCTGGTGCAGATATTTATGGGATTAAAGACTTTTCGGGTTTCCTCTGCTGCAGGGATTTACAGAATTCAAGACTTTTTGGGCTTTGTTGTCTGGATCCCTCTGCTGCAGGGATTTACAGGATTAAATACTTTTTAGGGTTCTGTTCTCTAGATTTCTCTGCTGCAGGTATTTATGGGATTAAAGACTTTTTGGGGTTCTGTTGTCTGGATTCCTCTGCTGCAGGGATTTACAGGATTAAATACTTTTTAGGGTTCTGTTCTCTAGATTTCTCTGCTGCAGGGATTTATGGGATTAAGGACTTTTCAGGATTCCTCTGCTGCAGGGATTTATGGGATTAAACACTTTTTGGGATTCCTGTGCTGCAGGTTTTATGGGATTAATGATTTTTTGGGGTTCTGTTCTCTGGATTCCTCTGCTGCAGGGATTTATGGGATTAAAGACTTTTTGGGTTTCGTGTGTTACAGGGATTTATGGGATTTATGACTTTTTTGGGGATTCTGTTCTCCGCTGTTCCTCCGCTGCAGGTATTAACGGGATTTATGACTTTTTAGGGTTCTGTCCTCCACCCCAAGCTGCAGCTGGCAGATCTCAGCCCTGCCTTGGCTGGTTCCTCCCACCCCATGCCCTGCCCAGCCCCTGAGCGTGGCCCTACCTTGGTGAAGGTTTCCTTGATGTGTTTCATGCTCCTGCTCC